AAGCTGCTTTATCCAAACAGCTACCTGATCCTGGAACATCTCTTGGAATTTGTTACCAGCCATCTGCATTATATGTATATATTTGGGCAGCGTTCTCTTCTGTTGCCAGGTTGAGTGCAGTTTAGTGTGATCTCGGCTCCTGCAACCTCGCCCTGCCAGAGTTCACCGGCTAGCGATTCTCTGCCTCATATCCGATTTTTTTTTTTTTTTGTTTTTTTTTTTTCTTAGTTGGTGGGATTTCAGGGCGCGCTTACTGCGACCCACCAGCTGAATTGCTGGTACTTTTTTTCGTAGAACAAGGGTTTGCCCGGTGTTGTGGCAGGCCTCGGTCGGACCGGAACTCCTGGACCTCAACTTGTGATGGCGGGTCTTGGCCTCCCAATGGTGTCTAGGTTCAGGGTGTGAGCACACACCCGCCTCTGCATACTATTGATAGAAAATTCCAACTCTACTTCCTACGATAAATTTTAAAAATTATCTCAAAACAGTATAGTGCTTACAGACTATTATGTTCTGTAAAAGTTCTACAATTATCTGACAAGTCATGAAACCTCATTTTAGAAAGGAGCTTCCGGCCGGCCCACGGTGGGTTCACCACCTATAATACTCAGGAACTCTGGGAGGCTGAGGCGTTTTTTGTGAGTCATTTTGAGGGTCAGAGTTTGGACCAGTCTGGCAACGTGGTGAACCCGTCATCTACTAAATCGTACAAAAATAGCTCTTTGGTGGCGCTGTAAGTCCCACTCGACTGAGGCAGAGATCCTAGACCCAGTAGCAGGGGTGCATGATTGGACGCCACTGACTTAGCCTGGGCAACAAGAGAAAACTCATCTCAAAAAAAAAAAAAAAAAAAAAAAAAAAGGGCTCCAGCAACTGACTTCATTGAAATATGGCATAGATTTAAAGGATTCTGGCTTTTCCGTTGCTTTCTGAGACAAACACGAATTAGCACTATGAGGTCAAGGGAATGTCATGAGTTGAAAATCTGCCTTCTAACCATCTTTGCATTAGCAAGAGAAAACACTGGATCAATGCCAACAAGGCAGTGAAAAATATTACAAGGGGCAATTGTATTTCTCTACATAGGAGAGGATGGCCAACTGTGGTTTATGAAACGTGCTCCTGACTCAGTAAACGCTGTGTTTGAAAAGCTGTGTTTGTTATATAGGTGTCTACTCATCAGTCAATCCTTAGAGTTCTTAGGAAAACCTGAGTCTCGAAAAGAGGGCTGTAGTAAAGCCTTTGATGCTGGGAACATTTTACTTTCCCCATAGACTCAGCCAAAAACTCTGCTTTGAATATTTATACTTCCAGCCAAGATGGAGTAACAGGGACTGAATTTATCCTCTTAACTGAAAAAAAAAAAAACAAAAACAGACAAAATATATAAAACAACAGTTTTCATAACACTGAATATCCAGCAATGAAGACAGTGAACCTTGAACAAGGCGAGCCCTATGATTGCCCCCACTACTGTCAAGAGACGGCTCCAGGCTGTGGAGGGAGAAACACAACGGAACACAGTGAACTCCCTGAGCTAAGGAGATGGAGCAACTCCTTAGTCCAGGAGATCAAAATGAATAGAATTTGCAGAACAGACTGCCAGAGAAAAGAGAGCTGGGAAGAGAGAGAACCCTGAAAATCTATAGAGGGTGTCCTTTGAGGATTCAGTAGAGCACTGATCATTCCATGCACTGAAAGAAACTACCCAAAGTGGGAGACCATCTGAAACCATAAGAGGGAAGAGTGCCTCATCCTTACACAGGGCTGGAGGTGGTGCCTATTCCCACCAGTCAGACTAAAAAACATAATTCACGGGGCATTGAATAGAGTACTCAGGAAGATCAGTATGCAGAATAATTAGCTACAGAATGAGCACTGCTCTGGGCTAGCCTAACAAATAATAAAAGCAAGACCTGAAAAAACCAATCCATATTTGAGTAACTAAACTGCATCCCGAAACCAAACATCAAGAATATTTATAGGAATAAAAAAATATATAGCATTCAAAAAGATACAATTAATAATGCCTAGCATCCAATCAAATACTGCCAGGCATGCAAATAGGCAGAAAAACATCACCCAAAATACAGACAAAAATCAATCGAAAATACCCAGAGCTGACACAGACATTAGGGTAAGCAGACAAAGGCATTAAAACCATTATTATAACTATATTTAATATGTTCAAAAAGTTAAATAGTCACATGCAAGATGTAAAAAAGATCCAAATCAAACCTCTAAAGATAAAAACTCCAAATCAAACCTCTAAAGATAAAAACTCACGCCTGTAATCCCAGCACTTTGGGAGGCTGAGGTGGGCGGATCACCTGAAGTCAGGAGGTCGAGACCAGTCTGACAACATGGTGAAACCCCATCTGTACTAAAAATACAAAAACTTAGCTGGGTGTGGTGGCACATGCCTGTAATCCCAGCTATTCGGGAGGCTGAAGCAGGAGAATCGCTTCAGTCCAGGAGGTGGATGTTGCAGTGAGCCAAGTTTGCGCCATTGCACTCCAGCCTGGGCAACAAGAGTGAGACTCCATCTCAAAAACAAAACAAAAACAAAAACAAAAACTCTGATGTACAAAATGGGATTAATGGCAGGTTAGATTACAAAAAACAGATGAGTGAAACTGAAGACAGAGAGAAACTATACAAGATATCATATTCCCCCAAATCCCCACAAATGCAAAGCATCACTGTGTGACAAGTTCAACTGGCCTAGTATATGTGTAACTGAGCTTTGCAAATGAGGCATACATGAGGCCAAAAAAAAAAAAAAATCTGAAGAAATAATGGCTAAAATGTTTCTGAATTTGATGACAACAAACCAAGATGCTCAATAAATGCCAATGACATACACACATACAGAAACACATGAAGAAAGCTATATCAAGGCACCTCATAATAAAATTCCTCAAAGCAGGCCAGGTGCAGAGGCTCACATCTGTAATCCCAGCACTTTGGGAGGCTTGAGGCGGGTGGATCACCTGAGGTCAGGAGTTTGAGACCAGCCTGGCCAATATGGTGAAACTCCGTCTCTACTAAAAATACAAAAATTATCTGGTTGTGGTGGTGCACACCTATAGTTCCAACTACTCGGGAGGCTGAGGCAGGCGAATCGTTTGAACCTGGGAGGCAGAAGTTGCAATGATCTGAGATGGCGCCACTGCACTCCAGCCTGGGTAACAAAGCGAGACTCCATCTTTAAAATTAAAAAAAAAACTTGCTCAAAGCAGAGAAAAGAAAAAAGAGAAAAATTTAAAAGCAGCTAAAGAAAAAGATATTCCATACAGAAACACAAAGATAAAGATGACAGCAGACTTCTCATCAGAAACAATGCAAGCAAGAAGATAGTGAATCAATATTTCTAAAGTACGGAAAGAGAAAAACCGCCAACACAGAATCCTACATCATGTGTAATAGTTTCCAAAACCAAAGGCAAATAAAGATGTCTTCAGGTACAAGCTGAAGGAATTCACCACCAGTATGCCCACACTATAAGAAATGCTAAAGGAAGTCCTTTAGGCAGAAATAATCATAACAGACAGAAATATTAATCTACACAAGTGAATAAAGAGCAATAGAAATGCCAACTCCATGGGTAAATATGTAAGACTTTTGGTACTGTTTAAATTTCTTTAAAGTTAATTGAATATTTACACAAAAATAATAATGTCATGTGCATCTGTAACTTACCAAAAAGTAAATTGTATGACATCAATCACATAAGGGCTGAGAGGAGAAAAATGGAAGCATACTATTGTAAGATTGTTATACTACATGTGAAGTGGTATAATATCATCTTGAAAGTAAATCTGATAAGTTAAAAATGTATCCTATAAACCCTAAAGTAACCATGGAAATAACAAAGAGTTATAGCTAATAATCCAACAAAAGAGGTAAAATGAACACATAACATGCTCAATAAACCTAAAAGAAGGCCTGGAAACAGGCATGCAGTCTGGAGAGGGAATTCTGAGATCCCAAGCATTGAGATCATAACGTACAAGGGAGGAGCCAGGCTCCACTGGGCATCTCTTGGCCCATGGCTTCCCTTCCCTTCCTCAGGAAGTTGCTTGAGGAGACCACAGTGAAGGCTTTTAAAGCCATGCTAGTCTGCAAAGAGAAAAGACAAAAAACTGAGAGTGTTTACAAACTTTTTTTTGTTGTTTTTGTTTTTGAGACAAAGTCTAACTCTGTCACCCAGGCTGGAGTGCACAAGCTCGGCTCACTGCAACCTCCGCCTCCAGGGTTCAAGTGATTCTCCTGCCTCAGCTTCCCAAGTAGCTGGGATTACAGGCACACGCCACCACGCCTAGCTAAGTTTTGTATTTTTAGTAGAGACGGGGTTTCACTGTGTTGGCCAGGCTGGTCTCGAACTACTGACCTCGTGATCCGCCCATCTTGGCCTCCCAAAGTGCTGTGATTACAAGCATGAGCCACCGTGCCCGGCTGTAAAAACTTTTATAGCAATTTGACATGGCCGTAACATCCCAGCATGGGATTATTTTTCTAGCAATGCATATTTATTGAATTTTATAAAAGTGATCTGTCCTTGATGCATTAGATAGAAATAAAAAACAATAAGAGAAAAACCCTGTCCCTTACCACAGATAACTGAGATACTGCTTGAAAACATGTGGCTGTGAGCAGCCTTTCTTCCCTAAATTTAAGGTGGCTCGTGTGTGCAGGGATCAGAAGGCAGAAATTGAACTGAAATAAGGCTGGTTTTGAATTACTGTAAGTGTAGGGCATACCTTATTTAAAAAGATTTCTGGTCTAGACGTTTTGATTATAATCTGATTGATCCATCTTTCTGTCTTTCTGGGTCACTCTGTCAATTATATGCTACATTTAAAGTAGTGGGGATTGTGTATACTCAGGAATCCCCTGCAGAGTCTTTCCCACTCAGAATTTGAGAAAAGATGTCATTTGTGGATGTGTGTAGTCGGCGGGTAGGACATACTCATCGAAAAGACAAACGGGGCACCTACCTTGTGCACGCAGGCCTTTGCATTCAGGAAAAACAGTTCCACGGTGGTTTTATCCTTTAAAAACGATATGCTCTCAATGTAAAACCTGAAAAACAGCAGAGGAGTTTGTTCCTTCAGATTTATTTTCATCTCTCAGCATTCCTCATTCAGTGTTCCCCGAAAGCAGCGTGAGAATTTTGAGAAACCTGAGGAAGGTTGTGCGTTCTTTTCCTTTTTAAAAGAAATGTGCACCACACGTAAGTACATGATGGATGTATGTGTATGTATGCCTAAAATCTCTTTCGGCATGTTTTTGTGTCTTGGAAGGTGAGTTACAGAGAAACCCCAGATGGTAACCAACCAAACACAAACGTTTATTTGTGTGGCTCATTCTTTGAGACATGTTCTGGGAGTTCATAATAATACCTCAGACAGCTTCAAAAGAAAAGCCCAGGTGAACCCGGAGTTGAAAGCTGAAGTCGGCTAAGCAAGCACTACCTAACCCAACCCCAAACCCTGCTTGAGGCTCAGGGATTTTTAGACAGAGGGGCCTCAGGGCCTCACGCCTACCTGACCCCCATCCACTGGGTGAGTTTCAATCACACTTTTCAATCACTCTTTTCTTCCTTCCCATCCTTCCAGGCCCTGGGTTTTCCTTTGGCTCAAAGCCAGTCTCTCAGCAACCATCAATCTTGGTCTTTTCTCATGCAAATCAGGGTATTCTGGGCCTCACTACTCCACTCCCTTTCTAGGATTTTGCTTGTTCCATCTGTGAGACCACAGGTTGCAGGCAGGCCCCTCTCTCAGGAGAGCTCTGACAGCTCTGGGGTGAGGAGGGGAGGAGGCTGAGTCTTTAACAACTCTGTTTTCGTAATCCTGTACTGATGAGGCCAGCTTGCAAAGGCTGGCGCTCTGTGGTGGGCGAGCGGGCAAGCTAGGGGCCCGAAGTTTTCCTCACGTTCTGGAGCGTTGCTTGATGAATAATGCATGAAGGGCCATCGAGCCCCAAGACAGCTCACTGCTTTGAGTCGGAAAGGGAATTTACTCTCAGACCAGTGAGAGTGAAGGCAAAACCGGGCTAGGAAGTGGCCAGGTGGACCTATCCTTAGCTCTGCGGAATCCTGAGGGGGCTTGAGCCTTTGCTTCTCTTTTTCTTCCTTTCCACAGTGATGATACCGTTGATAAATAAATGCAGCTGAAAGGGCTGTGAAAGATTTTATCACTGAGACGGTAAAAACGTTCGAAACATTCCACCCTTTAACGTTGAGTCATCAAGGGAAGTTCCAGAAAGAGAACAAATCCTTTATATTTTTACTTACAAGCTTTTATCTCACTTATAAGTGAGGTTAATGAAGATGGAGGAGTGTCGGATTTATGAGAAGAGAAAGTTAAGTACGAAGGCGGTTAAGGAAATGAGGAGTTGGGGGGAAAATAGGCTTTGGAATCCAAAAGATCGAGATGTAGTGTTTCAAGTCCACCATTTATTAGCTGTATGATAATTATGTTTCTTTGTGTCTTTCTAAATTGGGTGTCTTACCTCTGAGGAAAGAACAGAACTTTTATCTGAAAAATTCCAGTTCTTTCAATTTATCAGGTCTAAAGAGGCATTAAAATGAACAGCAATCAAGTCCTATTTCCCTCCTTGAGCTATGTATTTTTCTCCAGAAACTGCCTGGTATAGCCAAAACTAGCTGCACTGGACACATTAGTGTCCACTACCCCGGACACTATAACCCACATCCTGTAGCTCAACAATGGATAGCCAGGCCAGACGCAGTGGTTCACGCCTGTAATCCCAGCACTTTCGGAGGCCAAGGCGGGCAGATCACTGGAGGCCAGGAGTTCCAGAACAGCCTGGCCACCATGGTGAAACTGTCTCTACTAAAAATACAAAAATTAGCTGGGCATGATGGTGGGCGGGCACCTGTAACCTCAGCTACTCCGGAGGCTGAGGGAGGAGAATTGCTTGAGCCCGGCAGGTGGAGGCTGTAGTGAGCTGAGATTGCGCCACTGCAACTCCAGCCTGGGCAACAGAGGGAGACTCTGTCTCAAAAATAAAATAAACAAACAAAAAAATCCCCCAAAACAGTGTATAGCTAATCACTGACGAACGTTATTTCTGTAAACCAAGGAGAATTAATTCCTGACAAACAACTTTTGTAACTGTCCCCTTTCTTGATTTGTCCTTTTTTTCTTTAAACACTTGGGCCTCTCCTTCTCCAGAGCACTTCTTAAGGCAACTTGGAAGTGTGTCCTGGGCTGCAGTCCTCAACCTTGTCCCAAATAAGCTTTCTATATTAATTTTGTCTCAGCTTTTCCTTTTGGGTAGACAGTATTCTCTTCTCCCATCAGTCTAGTTTCTTCTACTCTGAGCCCTGCTGCGTGGACTAGGAGAGTCACCTGACTCAAAGGCAGCCAAGATGTCAGGTGGTGAGGAGGCCTGGAAAGGAGCAAGTGCTACTCAACAGATGCTTTTTATATTGCATGATGAATGAGCCAACCGATTAACATGGGCTCTTAGAGACTGAGGGGCGGATCAGGAGGGATTCAGTGGAGGCAGAGAAAGGCACTAAGCAGCAATCATGAGGCAGCAGAAGCCATGAAGTAGAGAGGGACAAGAGTCCACAACAAGAGTTGATGGACTAAAGCAGGGTAGCCGAGTCACTGTGATGGCAGACACCAAAGTGAGGCGGACCAGAGGTTGGCTGCTGCTACAGGGCTAAGATGACCCATGTTACACAAGTTTCTGTGCCTCTCCAAGAACCTTCCAGTTCAACTACTTGGTGGTGGCTGTTTCCTGCTTTCTTGGCTTTCCCATGCATTTGTATCCCTATCAATGAAGATAATATGAGCAGGCTTCCAGCGGGCAGCCTAATTAAGGGCAGCAGCAGGATCCCAGCCAACATTTCCCAAACTCTTACTAAGGTGCCTGCAATGTGCTAAGTGCTTCCCGATTGTTCTCTCATTTAATTATCACAACCACCTTGGGGAGGGACCTATGATGACCCTGATTTCACAGACTCAGACTCTTGAGTTTTAGAGATCTGCCTACCCAGTGGGGCTAGGTCTTGGTCTGGAACAATGACTTTGACTCTGTGGACAATGCTCTTAAGCAACATCTCCTGGGCTGCCACTCCCAGTTCACTCAACCAGCACTCAGCAGGAAGCTGAACCCTAGTAATTGTGGGCATCTCAACAACGTAAAAAATAGGCAGAGAAATAAGACAAGTGTGACATTTTCACCAAAATGTTAACATATGTAGAAGTACATGTGTTCTCTATTGCTTCAATAAGCAAAACCATGGCAAAAGACTTAAGTTGAAGGATTTTGATTAACCTATAAAATATCTTTTTAAAAGTTAGAGTAGTCTCAGAAGGGGAAGGCCTTTCCACAGGAAGAGATCTCCCTGTCCTAAAAAAATCCTAGGTCAGATTAGCAGAACTCAACATCTGCTTTCTACTTGAAATTTCTGAGATTATTTTTTTCCTTCACTTCTAATTACTTCAATAGACATCTCTAACAGAGACTATTAAAAAACAGGGGGTCAATGAATTTTCTCACTAACAAAGCTCATAATAATTTCTTAATTTTATTTAAAATTTAGTCTTCACTTGAATTTCCCCATTGTCTCCAAAACTTATAAAAAATGAGTTCTGTGATTGTAACATTTAATAAGTAAAGCTGCACTGGTCTACGGCAACAGTCACATATGCAAAAGTCGTAAGGATCACTGGCTGGATATAAATGAGTGATGCTGACCAGATGGGTGAGACCTGCTTGGGGGACACCGGGACACATTTTTTCTACTCTACTAAAACTCCTTCATCAAGGTGTGGGTAGGTGACCCAAGGTAGGCCAGTCAGCTTCTCACCCTGGAGAATAAACATGATTAGAATGACCTAAAGATCAAAGATGGTTGGAGCCTATTTATTCTGCTAGCAGCACTCTGATGAAATTGTCCCTTGGTTTCTGCTCCCTAGATCCTTGCAAAAGCCCTGATCCCTGTCTTTTCTGAGTCCTTGTTAGTTCAGTTTTCCTTCCATTTTGTTTGTTAGCCACAAGTGGTTCTGTTGCTGGCAACCAGAGAACCCAAGTTAATACAGGGCTTCTTCTGTGCTAGGGATAATACAAAGTGCTCTACAGGAACCTTTTTTTTTTCTTTTTTCATCTTTGGTACAACCAGATGCAGTAGGCAACAAATTATGAGCCCATTTTACAGATGAGAAAGCTTAGATACAGAGATGTCAAGTCCTCTTCTTTAGGCCATACAGCTAGCAAGTAGTGGAGCCATGACTCAAACTGAGGTCTGTTAGACTTCTAAGTTCATATTCCAAGCCAGTGTGATATAACGCTTTCCTACAATAACAACCAAAATGAAATATAACATGTACACAATGCTGTGGGGGCCCACCAGCCTGATGCAATTAACTCAGCTTATGAATTAAGGGGAGAATGTTGCCAAACTGAAATCCATAGGACTAAGCGCCACAGGAGAGGGGACAGTTGAGCTGAGTCTTAAAGAATGCATGAGTTCACCAGGTAACACAGGTAGGAAGGGCACTCCAGGCGGAGCACATATTAGCCAAACCAATCCTCTTGCTAGTCTTCGGGCATTGAAGAAACCACATACAGGTTGCTGGGTAGCTTGGCACCAAATCAGTTTGTGGTGCATCCAACTCTGAACAGATACCTTTGTACTAGAAACTGGGTTCACCTTGTTTTTGGAGCCCAGGCCCCTGACTACATCCTAGTTCCAGTAAACAGGTCTCTATCTTATTTCCCACTACTTTCTGGCGACCAGCCCTGGTGCCTCCTGCCTAGGCATCTGATTACCAGCTCTCTGAACCCACGATTCCATCTCTCCCTCAAGGGGACCATTGTAATGACTTCATATTTATGGAGTGTATGAAAAGTACATAGGGGCTTTGGGGGAAAAGGCTCTTCTCAGGCACACCTATCAACACACACCATGAACTGAAAACAAAATCTAGGACTTCTTAATGACATGAAATGGACTATCCCAGATTAAGAAAATAAAGACCTTTTCTTTCAGCCTTTTTTTGCAAAAGGATACATTTCCTTTTTGCATGCTTACTGTGAGCGATTTCACTAAGGTTCTGTTAAGTTGAAGCCCATGGTTAATTTTTCAGCTTCAGAAAGAACCCAGGCTTTTTGAATAGGCACACATTTTGGAGACAAACCTCAGCTTCACAAGTGTAATTTCTTGAGAAAAGAATTTGCTCAGGAAGGTTTTGCCTCTGCTATTTGGGCTCCTCCCATTAGCATTTTTTTCCTTTCTTGGTTGGCTTAACCACTCATTAGTGATGACAGAACATTACACCACAGTGACATGACAAAGACGGCTGGAAGGGACACAGCCCTGCCAGCCAGATGGCAACACATGGATGTCAAAGAGCACAACACCCAGTTGTTTGGAAGTGGCTGTCCTTTGAAGAGTCGCTTAAATTTACATGACCAATATTTTTGTCTTGTGGTATTTATTTCTAGTGGTCACAAGTCAACACTAGGGAGCGGGACAGACATTAGTTTGAATCGTAGCTCCAATGCCGATCAGTCTTGAGGTCTTGGGGCAGCTGCTCCGCTCTCAGTGCCTCTTACCTCTCTTGCCCCACACACTGGAGAAATGAGAGGTTTGAAATGTGCTTAATGGAGGGGCGCTGTGGCTCACGCTTGTAATCCCAGCACTTTGGGAGGCTGAGGCAGGCGGATCACCAGGTCAGGAGACTGAGACCATGGTGAAACTCCGTCTTTACTATGAATACAAAACAATTAGCCGGGCGTGGTGGCAGGCACCTGTAGTCCCAGCTACTCGGAGAGGCTGAGGCAGGAGAATGGCGTGAATCCGGCAGGCGGAGTGAGCGGAGATAGCGCCACTGCACTCCAGACTGGGCGACAGAGCCAGACTCCGTCTCAAAAAAAAAAAAAAAAAAAAGAAATGTGCTTAACATAGCAGGTGGCGTGTAGTTTAGTAGCCAATGAATGGCGGTGATTATTAGAATATTATTATCGCTCTACTGATGTGACTGTAATAAAAGGCACTGACTTAGTTGGGAACATCTTTAAAGCTTTAACTGTAACAACCAGAATAAAAATTCCAAGTATCTGGCCAGGTGCAGGGGCTCATGCCAGTAATCCCAACACTTTGGGAGGCCAAGGCAGGCAGATCACCTGAGGCCAGGAGTTCGAGACCAGCCTGGCCACCATGGTGAAAACTCATTTCACTAAAAATACAAAAATTAGCTGGATGTGGTGGTACATGCCTGTAGTCCCAGCTATTCAGGAAGCTGAGGCAGGAGAATCGTTTGAACTCGGGAAGAGGAGGTTGCAGTGAGCCGAGATTGTGCCACTGCACTCCAGCGTGGGTGACCGAGCAAGATTCTGTCTCAAAAAAAAAAAAAAAAAAAAAAATCCAAGTATCTTTCCTAAGTTCCTTCTCTCAAGGAAACAAATGCTACAAAAATGTCTGTTTTAACACAAAATGAGAAAATATTGTGAAATGAATGCTCTTCTAACCAGTTTCGACTTTTCTTTCTCAACTGAGCATGGTTTCTTTGCTTCCCAGGGCCTTTGCGAGGTCCGAGTGATATCTTCAAAGAGGGTGAATTGGGCAAGAACTGCTCAATTATTTTGCATTCTGAACAATGCTGAGTTTGTGACTGGCGTCCAGCGAGGGCTAAATCAAAACACCTCATTCTGGGTTTCATTTAGTCACCATGAGTAATTTCAGGCATTTAACTGCAGCCACACGCCTTGAAAGATTTCTATCAGATCCTCATCCACATTCTGAGCAGGGAGATATCTGTTTATTGCTTGTAATGACCCTGCAAGGTAGTCATATCTCACTTTATAATGCATGCTGAAGGCTGAAGTGTAATTTAAGTGTATTTCACTTTCTCCAAACACATCACTTTCTGCAAGCTATTATGCAGTGCTTATGGGAGTCCAATATGTTCCCTTTCATCTGTGGGAGGGGAACAGTCTTGGAGAATTCCCAGGGGAAGCACTGTTTGCTTCTACAATGTGCTCCTCTGCCAGGAATGCTCTTTCTCATTTCTGAATTTCCAGACATGGCTAGAATTAGAGAGGGCCTCCTAGTAAGCCTGTAGGAACCTGCCCTCTTGCTCCTTTCCCACAACGTGACTCTTTCTGAGTTATCTGGAAGAGCTGGAGGCCCAAAAGAGTCAGGGCCTTGCTGTGACCTGCCAGGAAGGGGAGAGAGAGAGTCTTCTCCCCTAGGCAACCTGAAGTGTCAGGGGCATGTGAATTCCAAGTGCTTGCCTCTCCTCCTCTTTAAAACAGCCTGCTCTAGTCCTCCACAGGAAAGCAGGGACAGATGCTTTGAGAGGGGGTGGGGAGGGGAGGCAGGGGAGAAAAGTTGGGTGGAGTCTTTTCACTGGGCACGGTGAATAATGAAGATAAATGATAAGATCCTCTGCCCAGTGCAAAGGGGACTGGGTCAGACCCAAGCCAGACAATCCCAAATCTTTCATATTCAAAGGCTGTGACAGAAACATGATAGAATGTTTCACCCACTGAATATGTGGTTGAGGCAGCCTGTTATTTATAACATAAAAATAGTTAACATTTATAGAGGGTCTACATTACCTGTTAGCACTTGGAATCCTCCAACAACCCCCAAAGTAGGTGGGTGCTACCACCAGCTTCATTTTATAGGTGATGAAACAGGCCCGAGAGGGTGCCAGAAACTACACAGTGAGTAAGTGGAAGAGCTGGAATATGAACCTAAGAATGATGCTAAAGCTCTGTTCTCAATGTTTGAGTGGGGGTGTTTACCAATGCTGAAGACACTATTTGACTGTCAGCACTTGGGGAGTGTTATTGTTTATTTTGAAACAGGGTCTTGCTCTGCTGCCCGGGCTAGAGTGCAGTGGCCTGATCACTGCAGCCTCAACTTCCTGGGCTAAAGCCATCCTCCTGCCTCAGCCTCCTGAGTAGCTGTGACTGCAGGCACGCACTAAAATGCGAAGATAATTTTTGTATTTTTTGTAGAGACAGAGTTTCACAATGTTGCCCAGGCTGGACCTGAACTGGACTCAAGTGCTCCACCTGCCTTGGCCTCCTGAAGTGCTGGGATTACAGGTGTAAGCCACAGTGCCCAGTCTGGGAGCATTATTGACGTCAGTAGGTGGAGACCAGGGATCTGCTAAAGATCCTACAGCACAGCTTAGCTCCCTACTAAAAAGAATGGCCTGGTCCTCAGTTTCAATAGTGCTGCTACAGTGAAACCCTGCATTGAAAGCCGAGCTTCTAATTTCTGAGCTCTGCAGCTTCTTTCACCCTTCACAATATGGTTTCTTTCTTTTCTTTTTTTTTTTTCTTTTGGAGACAGGGTCTTGCTCTGTTGCCCAGGCTGGAGTGCAATGGCGCGATCTGCAACCTCTGCCTCCCAGATTCAAGTGATTCTCCTGCCTCAGCCTCCCACATAGCTGGGACTACAGGTGTGCACCACCACACCTGGCTAATTGTTGTATTTTTAGTAGAGACGGGGTTTCGTCATGTTGGCCAGGCTGTTCTCGAACTCCTGACCTTGTGATCCACCGGCCTTGGCTTCCCAAAGTGCTGGGATTACAAGCATTAGTCACTGCGCCCAGCCCCACCATACAATTTCTTTACTTTTGATGTTGCCTCTTCATTGTCCTGAGACACACACACACACACACACACATACACACACACACAGACAGACAAACACACACATCCTTTAAGTATTCATGGCCCATCTGTTTCTTAAAACTCTGGAAACACAGGCACACCCACCAAAAGATAGGACTGAAAGGTTTGAGAGGGGAGTGAGCAGATTTCTAAAAATAATTTCTGATGCTTGCCCAGGGAATACACCAAGAAATAGAATCCTGTAAGAAACTGGAATCATGATCGAGCATGTGCTTCAGACGATTCTGTGCCTTTCTTGAACTCTTGTGTGATAAAGATGTTGGATCCTCGAAGATGAAGGCCATTAACCGCCTGCCTGGAAGTTCAGAATAGGCTGGGCCAGTTAGGGGTCATGGGTGATACTGAGGCAACTGGCCTTTGTATTTCCCACGGTCTGGGGTATTGTGCATTCAGATGGGAGTGTGGTAGATGGGCAAAGACCTCTGGCTAACTCGCACACCTCCCTCAAGTAGCCTCAGCTCAGCCTAAGTAGAAGGAAGCAGTTGTTTCTCTGGGCCTTTAAATCACATTCCTCCATGAAAAGATGAACTTTCTAGTCCTCTCGTTATTGTAAATCACCTACCCTCTGATGGCTTTAAACAAACGCATACTTATCTGGTCACAAACATTTTATCCTTTCTTCCTCTTATCACTTTTCATAACTGCATTTAAAAAATTTGCTCAAGTAATATGTTCATTGTAGGAAAAAACACAGATGAGCGAAAAAGAAGAAAATGAAAATCGTCCCTACAATCATCCTACCTAGAGATTAACTATTGTTAACATTTTCAACTTAGTTTCCATCTGTACAGATGTTTTATACAATATTTTACATAGAGTGTTATCATATTGCATGGACTTTTTGTGGTCCACTTCTTTCACCTAGAATATGTTGGGAGCATCTTTCTACGTCAATAAGTCTCCCTCTTTACTACAGTCTGTCTTTATGTGTCACGTGTATTTGGCTCTCTTTAAAAAATTCTGGTGGAATGATGAGGACTCATGGGTTGTAGTCATGATGTTCCTTGAGTTAAACTCTTTCTAAAGATCTAACGTTCCAAAGACCAGGCCAGGAGTGATGAGAAGGCAGTCAGCAGTCTTGAATTCAAGGGCTCCCTGTTTGCAGCAATTTTCACCCAGAGGGAGTAGTCTGCCTCCGGGTTTCCTACTACAGTAGGAAAGTGAGTTCTTCTCAGCCCTAAGAGTGGCAGACAATGCTTTAGGGTACCACTGAGTGGATACATGCAGTCCTAGGACCCAGCAAAAGTGACTTGGAAAGAGGAGGAGGAAAAGAAGGGAGAAGAAGAGGGAAGACCAATTGAAATGAAAAACAAAACAAATAATAAAGGGGATGAAAGAAGCCAAGATTCTGGCTTTGACTGGAACAAAGTGGTACCGGCCTGAGCCACCTCAGGTTGCCCTCCTCTGAGGGAATATGAGCTTCTCCAGTGAGGTCACGGCAAGGCCCTGCACTCCTAGTTAAATGCTTGCTTGCTCCTCACTGTCAAGCCTTTCAAATATTCACATCTGGGCTGCATTACCAAGAGGCCCATATGTTTGTGGAATATAATTTATGGCAACCAGATAACAACCCCCAGCCTGGGGAAGTCCCCCAGAAACCTGGTGGAGTTTGGACTCCTATGGAAATAGAGAACTGGTTAAATAAATTATGGTACCTAAATAAATTATGGTGCGTCTATACACACAGAGGTCACACACATATTTAGCACACCTCTTTGAGATTTTATAACTGGAAAAAAGAAGACAAAAGTTTAATCTTGAAGTCATAAAGGGAACACTACATGCCTTTGCTTTACATATTTTCTTTTCTCTGTGCAGAAGCAGCATATGTTTCTGAGCTGCTCCCTCTATCCTGGGGAATATAAACCAGATATTTATTAACCCTTCAAATCTGTAGTACCTCAGGGTTTAGCTCAGGAGTAAATGAGACAATACTTGTCAAATAGCCTAGGGCCTGCTGCAGAGTTTATGCTACGTTTCGGTACAGAGAAAACTTCTTGAGAGCAAGATCTCATGGAATTTTTCTTTTTCATAAATGCTACAATAAAAAAAAAATTCCTTACATTTGCATAATGTTTTGCAAAATCATTTTGTATCCCCTGCTCTCTCTTCAATTCTCATAACCAACTTGTACCATCTCCGGTGAATGTGGAGTGAGACTCAGTCTGGTCCACCCCAATCACCTCTGGCCTGGACCATTGCAACAGTTTCCTAACTGGTCTTGCTGTGCCCTCCTGCCCCGTTCCAGTCTGTCCTCAATCCAGCAGCCAGAGTGAGTCTGTTTAAAATGGAAATTGGTTATGCTCTCAAGCTCAAAACCCGTAGGCCCCAATGCCCTACAGGCCAACCCCATGCCAACTCCTACTCATTTCCCTTTTGTAGGTTCTCTCCAGATACATGACTTCCTTCCAGGGGCTGGTACACACCAGGCATGCTCTTGCCAACCTGTCTGTGCACCTGCTGTTCCCCTGGCCTGGAAGAAACTTCCCCAGAAATGGCCCTGGGTCCTGGGTCCTTGTCTCATCTCCTGTATGCCTTTGCTCAATGCCACCTCCTTTGGGAGGCCTTCCCTGACCACTGTATTTAGAATTGCAGCCCCAGCTTTGCTAATATTCCCTTTTCCTCCTCCCTAATGGAACTTCCTCCATAACCCCTCACATAAGATGCTTTGCAGGTTTACTTTACTTAGTGTCAGTCTCTTTCCATTAGGCTGTAGGCTTTATAGCCGCAGGATTTTTGTCATTTTCTTCTACCACTGCTAGATTTCCATAGGGCCAGGCACGTAGCAGGAAATCAGCAACTATTTATCAGATGAATGGACAAACTGTTATTCTACAATGAATGCATTTGTTTATGTGTATGCAGACTATGATGGTAGAGATTTTTGCCTTCTTCACTATTGGTTCCTCAGACCTAGAATGGGGCAGAGCACAACGTAGCAAAACTCTAATACATAATGAATGAAGGAAGGAAGAAATGTTTCTTCACAGCTTGGTGTAGCTCCTTTCAGGAATTTTCTCAGTATTTATAGATCTATATATGTTTATAAAACATACCAACTTCAAAAAACCTCAATGTGATCACTTGAACTTCCCATGGCATAAATAGTAATCTCTGTTTTACAGAAGGATACTCATTCCCTATCTTTTTCAGATATAATGTATCTTTTCTCCTCAGATGCATGAGCGATGAGATACATGACAACATCCCTGATAACACTGACTTATTAAAGTAATGATTTATAAGAGGAGGGGTGGAGAGAGGGCTGGACAATGCACCCCTCCCTCCATGGCACTATATCAGAATCTGGGCTAGGAATGTGGAGTTGGAGGGGAGTAACTGTGTAGTTTGAAAAATTTCCCAAGATGATTCAGATATGCCCTGCCTCGCCTTCTGGAGAAGCTCTGAATTGCAACGTACTTTTTCATCTAATCTCTTTTGTTAAAGTGATTCATCGTTTACTATAAAAGTGCCACCATAACCTACTGAACCTATCTTCATTGTTGGCATTAGGACTTCTAATTGTTTGCGTTGAAAATAACAGCGGTACACATGCTTTATGCTATCACTGAAGGGACTTCTTTTTCATTGTGCATTAACTATTTGGTGACCACACACCTCAGTGTCCATGAATGAGGGGCTTCTGTGCTCCATGTTCCAGTGCATGCAGCAGTACTGTGCTGACGCAAGAGGTGAGGACCCCAATCTCAAAAGAGGTCCCCTGCACTTCCAGAGGCTCCTAAAATGAGCGAACATCAAGACAGAACCAAATGCTATCTTTGGCTCTCTATTCTTCAGTCAAACAGGCAACCTGGAGATTTGTTGATGGTGTCTACTGGGATAGAAGTATTACCAATAGTTCTGTTTTCTCCAAACAGGAGGCTAGAGACCCTCTGAGGAGCACCTCACTTCACTGGAGCACAAAACAACCCCATTTGCGAGACCTCCACAGAACCAGCTACACTCCACAGTAACCTCGGTCAGTTCACGAAATTCTTTGGCGTGTGCTTTTCCTTTATCATTTCCTTAATTAAACTGGAGTAAAAACAACTACTTAATTGGAATAATAACAAAGACTATTATGATCTCACTATACTGTTGGGAGGAAGAACTAAGTGAATAATTAAAAACTTGATAAGGGTTTTAAACATGCAAGTAGTTAAGGGAAAGTAATGCGAAGTGATTATGGGACACTCTTGAGATAACACTCCAAGTAAGTGCTGAAACTCATGAACAAGCAGCAGGTCACTCTGGAATTTCAGGAACCTGCTTGGAGAAGATAGAGAGCCTTATGAATGACTGTACAGAAAGGGAGATAGAGTTTACTCCTTTGGTATTCTGTGACCCCAAACAGACCAGATATTAGCTGTCAAAGAATCTACACAAATCTGGTTACTACCTAGATGGTACTTGTTAGATTTTCTGAAGACTTAATGCTTTCATTGAGTAGATGACACTACAGAAACACTACACCATGTGCACAAAAGATGAAAGGGCAATGATGTTAGGCGCAACCTATTTTTTTTTTTTTTGCGATGGAGTCTCACTCTATTCTCCATGCTGGAGTGCAGTAATGCAATCTTGGCTCACTGCAACCTCCACCTCCTGGGTTCAACCTATTCTCCTGCCTCAGCCTCTGGAGTAGCTGGGATTACAGATGCCCACCACCAAGCCTGACCAATTTTTTGTATTTTTAGTAGAGATGGGGTTTCCCCATGTTGGCTAGGCTGGTCTCGTACTCTCGACCTCAAGTGATCTGCCCACCTTGGCCTCCCAAAGTGCTGGGATTACAGGTGTGAGGCACCGCGCCTGGCCAGCTGTAACCTAAATTTTAATAACAACTAGAAATAGCCTTAATGTTTAAATAAATAGATTTTTATATACCCAAGGAAAGATCTCCAAGTTGCAAAGAAAAAAGAAATTAATTCATCAAACGACTTACCCTATTTTTCTAAGAACGGGGGAAACTTGGGGGTCGAGGGGAAGGTTGGAGGTGGTGAAGAGTAATTTTTACTTTTCTTTTTTTTTTTTTTGAGACGGAGTCTCGCTCTGTCGCCCAGGCTGGAGTGCAGTGGCCGGATCTTAGCTCACTGCAAGCTCCGCCTCCCGGGTTCACGCCATTCTCCTGCCTCAGCCTCCCGAGTAGCTGGGACTACAGGCGCCCGCCACCTCGCCCGGCTAGTTTTTTTGTATTTTTTAGTAGAGACGGGGTTTCACCATGTTAGCCAGGATGGTCTCGATCTCCTGACCTTGTGATCCGCCCGTCTCGGCCTCACAAAGTGCTGGGATTACAGGCTTGAGCCACCGCGCCCGGCCTTTTACTTTTCATTTCATTCATATAATTTGAAATGTTTATAGTGATAATATAATTCTCTCTGAAAAAGTATATTTTATTTATGTTGGGCCATTTTCCCTACACAACACAAGATTAAAACTTCATTATTCTCTGACTCCTGCTTAAGTACTAATATGCTGTTTAACCTCTTGCCTACTAGTTCTGTTTTTTTTTTTTCCCATTGCCATGGACACAAGCATTCATGTCACCCTCTTTCCTGGAAACTCAGTGTTTTTTTTCTTTAGGATTTCTGTGTACTTTTCCATACCAGCTATGCTCCTAGACAAATCACTACTATGCTGCCTCCTTCCTGGGTTTTAAAAATATAATTACTTCTGGCAATTAAATTACTTCTTGTTGTTGTTACTCCAATTTAATTAAAGAAATTATATTGTAAACCAGATTTCAGACCCAAAAGCAAGAAAGAAATTGGAAGTGGCTAACACTTCATTTGTTCGGTATGGAGCAGCAACTCTCCACAATCCCCATTGATTCACACAAAAAAGAACTTTCCGTTTTGTTCTGAGACAGGGTCTCTGTCACTCAGGCTGAAGTGCAATGGCATGATCAAGGCTCACTGCAGCCTTGAGTTGGGCTCAAGCGATCCTCCCACCTCAGCCTCCTGAGTAGCTAGGACCACAGGTACCCACCTCCACACCCAGCTAATTTAAAAAAACTTTTGTAGAGATGGGATCTCATTATGTTGCCCATGCTGGTCTCAAATTCCTGGACTCAAGTGATTCTCCCACCTCAGCCTCCCAAAGTGTTGGGATTACAGGCATGAGCCACTGTGCCTGGCCAAAAAAGATTTCTTTAAAAATGTATTCTGTCATATTCTCATACTTTTGAATTTCACGGAACAGACTCAATTAAAATTAAAAGTATCTGTAAAATGTGACAGAATGTTGCCAGGTAATCAGTAAAAAAGCCCCCCCCAAAAAGGATGAAACCTACACCTTCATGGCATAAAACGAAGTACATTTTCATCTTCCAAAAATTAACATTATCAGGCATGGTGGCTCACGCCTGTAATCTCAGCACTTTGGGAGGCTGAGGCAGGTGAATGCTCGAGCCCAGGAGTTTGAGGCCAGCCTGGACAACATGGCAAAACCTCATCTCTACAAAAAGTACAAAAAATTAGCTGGGTGTGGTGGTACGTGGCTATAGTTCTAGCTACCTGAGAGGCTGATTGTTTGAGCCCGGGAGGCCGAGGTTGTAGTGAATCAAGATTGTACCACTGCACTCCAGCTTGGATGAGAGACTGAGATCCTGTCTCAAACAAAAAAACAAAAATTAACATATACTCAGAATACAGGACAATTCTTCAGGTTCATCTAGCTTTATGAGAAGAAACTAGATTTATAAGAAACCTACCACCTTACCTCATTTTATCATTTTTAACTTCCTACCAACAGAACAAAATTTATCATAAAATTTTTCATCAAACTTAGGAAAGTGGGGAGAGGGGGTCAGCACATAAGAAGGGCTTTCAGCTCCATCAGTAATGATTTCACCTCAAGCTAGGTAGAGAAACATAGGTATTACTTCCTGTTTTTGCTTTGTTTTGTTTTTGTTTATGAGATGGAGTCTCACTGTTGCCCACACTGGAGTGCATTGGTGCGATCTTGGCTCACTGCAACCTCTGCCTCTGGGTTCAAGCGATCCTTATGCCTCAGCCTCATGAGTAGCTGGGATTACAGGAGCACATCACCAAGCTCAGCTAATTTTGTTTTGTATTTTTAGTAGAGATGGGGTTTCGCCACGTTGGCCAGGCTGGTCTCAAACTCCTAACCTCAAGTGATCCACTTGCCTCAGCCTCCCAAGGTGCTGGAATTACAGTCATGAGCCACTGTGCCCAGCCGGTATTACATCTTATAACATTTTTTGTTTGTTTGTTTTAGATTGTGAACTAAAAAAATAGTTCTATCATGAGATGGATTTGAGAAATTACTGATCTAGTTGAATGCATCCATTTCAGGATACAGTTAAGTGACTTGCCCAAGCAGACCTCAGAGAACAAGTCAAGGACTCTGCATGATTTTCAGCAGTCTCTGTGCATGTGAATGGAATTCAGGTCCCTGTACTGTTAATTATTTCCTTAAGCATTTGTTTGTATTTTATGCTCTATTCAAATTAAGGCATCAAATTGTATAAAATTCAATTATTTCCAAGTCTGTAGAAAACATTATTGCTACATAAAATGTAATAGCAAATGTTTGTCATATTTCAAATAATAGGAATCTTAAAAATATGTTGAGTGAGAAACAGGCTTATGTATTAAAATATATTACCCATGTTTTTCAGCTTTAAATTGATCTAAGAGGCTTTGAGGAATAAAGGAAGGCGACTCTATCCTTCATCTTCAAAGAAAACAGCTCTACAGTATCTATGGTAACTTGGTCCTCAGACCAAGACAGTAGAGAATCTCTTTCAAATGATAATGTTTTGATAGGTCTCTTCTCTTTTTATTCGCTATCTCTAATCACCAGAAATGTAAAAAACAGAAAAGAAAACACACACGAAAACCAAAAATAACAGCAAAAAAAGAGGGATGCTAACTGGGTCTGTGGATACATACCTCACAGCAAAGTGCAAAACAGTTGGGCCTGGTTTCTTTGGCAAATCATGGTCAAGAACTCGGTGGTCTAACTGTAGCCAGTTCTGCTGACCTCTGTGAGAGCAAAGCAAAGAAAAAGGATTCAACAGAAAGTCAGAAAAGTTCAGCAACATACAGTGTTGGCAAAGCTGTGGGGAAATCGTTGCTCTCATACACTGATGGTAGGAGCACAACCTGTTACAACTGGTAATGAGACCAACTCAGCAATGTCTTTCAAAACTGTGAAAGCACGTGCTTCTGAACCAGCATTTCCATTTCCAGGAGTATATCAAGGCAAACTTGCACATGTGAGAAATAATTTGTATATGAAATCACTCGCTGTGGCATCATTTGAAATAGCAAAAGGTGTGGAAACAACTTCAATGTCCAAGAGGATATTGTTTAAAAAAATTATTTAAAACTATAGAGTGGCCAGGCGCCAGTGGCTGATGCCTGTAATCCCAGCACTTTGGGAGGCCGAGGCGGGCTGGTCACCTGAGGTCAGGAGTTCGAGACCAGCCTGGCTAACATGGTAAAACCCTGTTTCTGCTAAAATAAAAAAAATTAGCCAGGCATGGTGGCGTATGCCTGTAATCCCAGCTAGTTGGGAGGCTGAGGCAGGAGAATCACTTTAACCTGGGAGGCAGAGGTTGCAGTGAGCCGAGATTGCGCCATTGCACTCCAGCCTGGGCAACAAGAGTGAAACTCCGTCTAAAAAACAAACAAACAACCCCCCAACCCCCTCAAAATAAACAAACAAACAAAACTATAGAGTGAAATACAACGCAGCCATAAAATAGGCTGAAGAACATGGGTGTGGTGCCACACACATGTAGTCCCAGTTATTCTGGAAGCTGATGCAGGATGACTGCCTTGAGCCCAGGAGTTCGAGGCTGCAGTGTGCCATGACCACAGCTGTGAACAGCCACTGTACTCCAGCCTGGGCAACATAACCAGACCCTATCTTTAAACAAACAAACAAAAAAAGCCAGAAAGCCTCTTTATAAACCCATTTTGAACAATTTCCAAGGTACAATATTAAATGAAAAAGCAAGACGCATAGCAGCAAGTATACAGCCATTTTTTAAATTAAACAAAGAACAAACATACATATGTGCATGTATATATTACAAAAAGCTGAGAGGAAAAACAAAAAACTGGTAACATTAGTTGACTTTCGAGGTAAAAAACTAGGCAATATGTTAATATTACATTTTTATGAAATATAAAATATTTTAGATAATCAAGGAGAAAACTTCTGGTTCAATGAAATACAACACACAGGTTGGGTGTAGTGGCTCACGTCTAGCACTTGTAATCCTAGCACTTGGGAGGCCAAGGCAGGCAGATTGCTTGAGCCCAGGAATTTGAGAGCAGCCTGGGCAGCATGGTGAAACCCGATTTCTACAAAGAATACAGAAAAAATTAGCCTAGTGTGGTGGTGCGTGCCTCTTGTCCCAGTTTCTACAGAGGCTGAAGTGGGAGGATCACTTGGACCCAGGGAAGTCAAGGCTGCAGTGAGCTGTGATCATGCCACTGCATTCCAGCCTAGGCAACAGAATGAGACCCTGTCTCAAAACAAAAGCAAAAACAAAAACAAAAAACCAGACACACAACAATAACACAGCTTTTTAAAAAAGTACAGGGTTGATGCTAGGCATAGTGGCTCATGCCTTTAATCCCAGCACTTTAGGAGGCTGAGGTGGGAGAATTGGCTGAGGTGGGAGGATTGCTTGAGCCCAGGAGTTTGAGGCTGCAGTGAGCTATGATTGTGCCACCACACCCCAGTCTGGACAACAGAAGGAGAACTTGTCTCAAAAAAAAAAAAAAAAAAAGGCCAGGCACGGTGGCTCATGCCTGTAATCCCAGCACTTTGGGAGGCCGAGGTGGGCTGGTCACTTGGGGTCAGGAGTTCAAGACCAGCCTGGCCAACATGGTGAAACCCCGTCTCTACTAAACATTCAAAAATTAGCTGGGAGTGGTGGCGGATGCCTGTAATCCCGGCTACTTGGGAGACTGAGGCAGGAGAATCACTTGAAGCCAGAAGGCGGAGGTTGCAGTGAGCCAAGATCTTGCCCCTACACTCCAGCTTGCGTGACAGAGCAAGACTCCATCTCAAAAAAAAAAAAAAAAAAAAAAAGTACAGGGTCGAATACTCTCTGAGTGCCACTTCTGTATATATGTTATGGGCTGACTAAGATTTAAGCATGTACTTGCTTATTTTACTTACTCAAGAGCCTCACCAAGTTCATAAACAGTTCTCTCTAGATTTTGACTCTTGAGGTATCAAAAGGACACCGGGGCTCAGAACTGTTTACGTGCCTTTTCCGAGGTTGTCCAACTAGTTCATCCATTTTAGGCTGTAAATTCCCAGAGGGCATAGACCCTCTTTTACTTGCTTACATAAAATTCAATCTAAGAACATGCTGATGGTGGTAGGATAGCGTGTCAAAATGTAATAAAATCTAGAATGGGCCAGAAGACATTTTCAAAAACCTTTTAGTCCTTGAGTAAAAAATTAAAAAACAAAATTAGAAAATTCTAGGCTGTATTCATTATAAGTAAACAGGAAAAGTGAGAATAAATAATAATATTAGCAGTAGTAATAATAACAATAGCTAGTCTCTATTGAGCAATGACCCTGTGCCAACCAAGTTGGAACTCTTTATACATTAAAGCTATATTTTACAATAAGCCAGTGAGGAAAGTGCTAGAGCTGGGATTTGAATTCAGGACTTCCTTTCTTCCTCCCTACTCCCCGCCACCCCACCCAGTGGACTTGTATATAAAAGTACCCAGGACTTTCAGTACTGGAGAAAATGAGACCAGAGGGTTGAATCAGCTTTTATTTTATTTATTTATTTATTTATTTTTATTTTTTTGAGACGGATTCTCGCTCTGTCGCCCAGTCTGGAGTGCAGTGGCGCGATCTCCGCTCACTGCAAGCTCCACTTCCCGGGTTCACGCCATTCTCCTGCCTCAGTTTCCCGAGTAGCTGGGACTACAGGCGCCCGCCACCACGCCCGGCTAATTTCTTTTTTTTTGTATTTTTAGTAGAGACGGGGTTTCACTGTGTTAGCCACGATGGTCTCGATCTCCTGACCTCGTGATCCACCCACCTCGGCCTCCCAAAGTGCTGGGATTATAGGCTTGAGCCACCGCGCCCGGCTGAATCAGCTTTTATAATGACTTCTGACTCAGTCTCTGATACTTAGCCGGTTAAACGCTGGAAAGAGTGTGTCTTTGTTTCCATAGTTACAAGACAAGGCTTTTGATACCTGTTCCCAGCTTTCCTTGCAGGAATATTATAAAGATAAATAAGCTGATTAAGTAACACAAGGGGAGGTCCTTAGAACTACTGCACTTGTATGTAAAACATAATAAGATAGGAGACTGACATTAAGAGAGTCTTACACTATATTTCATCAAGTTTAGGATGCCACTGATTTAAAGACACATCCCAGTTTCACAGGTGGTCAAATGTGTGTCTTAAAATATATAACATATTTTATAGTATCAGATCTCAAAAGTTTTCTTAGGAAAGATGTATGATTTTAAAAGCATAACAGGCTAGACATGGTGGCTCACACCTGTAATCTCAGCATTTCAGGAGGTTAAGGCAGGAGGATCACTGGAGCCCAGGAGTTCAAGGCTGCAGTGAGCTATGATCATGCCACTGCACTCCAGCCTGGGAAACAGAGTGAGATCCTGTCTCTAAAAAGAAATTGAAAGCATAATGTATATTTGTATGAACTTGCATGGAATGGTGTCTCTGAAAGAATGAAGCAAGTTGTACAATAACACATACAGCATAAACCAATTATGTTAACCACAGATGCACGCTCAAAACACTATTAAATATTGATGAACATTTTTAGATATATTTCTGGAGAGTCACACAGCAACTTGCTAGTACTGGTTACCTCTGTGGAAGAAACTACAGTTGCAGTGGGAAGGTAATCAAAAGGGACTGGACTCAACCATGACATTAAAGAAGATATTCATGCATATATAATATGAAATAGTTTTTTAAAAGGATAAATTACAAATTAGATTTAAAAAAAAACTACCCACAATCTCATCAAGAGGAAAAAGTCTAGAAGAATTTTTTTTTAAATGCCCATAATTCTACTACTGAAATGTAATCAAGGTTACTTATTGCTTATAACTTGCTTTTGTCAGGTTTTCCCATCAGTAAATATAATAGACCTAACCAATTTCTTAAAAAGACAGCCATATCCACCCCTATCAGGAGTGCAGACCAACCACAAAGCAAGTTTTATTTTTGGCTAGAATTATATCAACAGAAGGCCCATTGTCACAGTCCCATTGGAAGGGACAGTGATCAAAAGTCACAGTTGTGTTGTAAAGTCCATTTGTTATTTCTTGGTTAACAAAGCTTATTTAGCAAAGCCTTTCAAAACATGAGAAGGCAAAACAAAAAATGAAATGGGTGAAGAGATGGAACCATTATGGTGACCTGAAGGGCTGGTGCCTCAGGAGGGCCGTGACTGCCCTCTAGGGGTGAAAGACTCACTTTGCACACAGAGCTGCGCAAGGCACTAACAAGCGTAATCTCAGAAACTCTATCCCTCTCCCCATAACGTGACCTTGAATCTGTTGTTGGTCATCATCACTGCTTTTATTATGTAATTGCCATCTATTTTTCCGTTTCTCCTCTTGGTCTGTGGATGAGTTGTAGACAGTAGCTACTTTCATTGACAAAATGTTCCTTTCAGCTTTGCCTTCCTCTATTTAAAGTTCACCAAAGGCAAAAGACGCTTGTGGCATCTAGGCTGGAAAATGCAACTCAGACGGCATCCTGGGAGGGCCCTCACTCAGTGGTTTTACGGGGGCGAAGGGAGGCAGGAGGGAAGTGCTGAAAGAAAATACTTTCCAAAAATATTTACCAGACAAAGAAAAAGCACTAGGCTTGTGACCAAGACATTCCAAGGAGACACCCTTAGACATCAGCAATTTTCCAGGCCCGCTCCCCAGAAAGGTAGAAATGGCCAATTTCCACCCCCTCAACAGCCCCGCTCATACTTCTTCTGAAAATAAACACGACTAGAGCCAGGAGACACCTCCCCAAACTGGTCATAATTCAGAAAGAGACTCTGCCTTTGCTTGCAGGGGAGTGCACAGAGGACATTTTGGAGCCAGGGTTCTTGGAAAGAACATAACTATAGTTATCTCCTTTGGCTCAGCCAAAGGCTGTGTGAGCCATTCTTCTCCCAGCGTAGTTTTGAGAAAGAAATCTCAGAGCAGACAACGAGAAGGGTGGCCCAAATAATTGAAGGAAGTCATTCCTATTATTCCTTTTCTTTTTTCTTTTTGGACAGAGTCTCGCTTTGTCTCCCAGGCTGGAGTGGCACAGTCTCGGTTCACTGCAACCTCCCCTCCCGGGTTCAAGTGATCCTCGTGCCTCAGGTGCCTGAGTAGCTGGGATTACAGGCGCCCGCCACCACGCCCAGCTAATTTTTGTATTTTTAGTACAGATGGGGTTTTGCTGTGTTGCCCAGGCTGGTCTCAAATTCCTGACCTCAGGTGATCCACTCACTTCGGCCTCCAAAGTGTTGAGATTACAGGTGTGAGCCACCACACCTGGCCTATTATTTCTTTTCTTTCTGAAGAGAAAGTCTTACAGTCTGAACCCCTTACTTATGCACTGTCTGGTTTATATTCCACTGAGCTTGGAGCTTTTCCCAAAGCCTCCCATGTGGCCAGGACCCTCTTTTCCAGTCTGCCCCAAACACTGCAGCCTGAGGGACCTCTGACACTGCAAGTCAAAAGCCACATTCCTCCTCCCTATAACATCCTTCCATGGCCTGGGTGTGCCTCCTCTATCTGTGTGACTAACAAGGCTCACCTATGATCTTGTCCCCATGATCAGGCCAACGTCTTCAACCTTGGGCAAATGTACCTTGTTTGTTGCCATGTTCATGCATTTGCCCACAAAATAACTCTTGCCTAGAATGTCACCTCCCATCTCCCCTCCCATCTATTTAAAGTCTACCTGACTTGCAAGATCCAATTTTAGTTAGTCGTCTGTGTGACGCCTACTCCAGTCCTCCTTCAGTTTCCTTCTCAACACTCCCTTATTGCAATACATTGGGACGATAGCTCCCTTTTATTGTGGGTCTGTGAGATACACTCTGCATACCTCACCTGATTTAATAGTATTGAATACTAGTACCCTATTATAGGTGCCTTATGTAGTACATACTATATAAGTCACTATTATTATGTCCAGCATACAGATGAGAAAACTTGAGTGTCAGAGATGTTAAGTAACTGATCTAAGGTCACACAGCTAGCTATCAAGATTCTCTGATACCTGCTCCTGCCTCCCTCTCAACCCTCATCCTGTACCACTTTGCCTCTTAATCTCTGTACTCTCATCACACTGGCTTTGTTTTTGTTTGGGACAGGATCTCACTCTGTCGCTTGGGCTGGAGTGCAGTGGTGAGATCATGGCTCACTGCAACCTCCACTTTCTGGGCTCATGCAATCCTCCCACCTAAGCCTCCCGGGGAGCTGGGACTATAGGTGTGTACCACCATGCCCCCTTACTTTTTTTTTTTTTTGTATTTTTAGTAGAGATGGGGTTTCACCATGTTGCCCAGGCTGGTCTGGCATTCCTAGGCTCAAGTTGGTCTGACTGCCTCAGCCTCTCAAAGTGCTGGGATTAGAGATGTGAGCCACTGTGCCCAGCCTTGTTTTTTCTTTCTCAAAAAACAAATCACAAAAGTCATGCTCAGCCCCACCTCAGGAGTTTTGCACTGGTTTTTGTTTGTAATGCCTCCCCAAATTTTTGCACAACTGGCTCTTGCTTTTCATTACATGTCACCTCCTAGATCCTGTCCTAGTCCACCCTGTCTAAAACTGACCTCAAGTTTTCTTGGTCATGGCCTTTTATGTTCTTCAATGCACTTATACTTGCTGATATTCCTTTGATTTATCTGTTTGTTTACTTGTTATGCTAGACTATACCATTGCAATATGAGCTCCATAAAAGCAGGGGCCTTGTCTGTGTTACTCCTAGCTGAATCCTTGTGATCTAGAACAACACCTGGCATTGAGTGGGCATTCAAAAACTATTTTATTTTCTATTTTTAGAGATGGGGTCTTGCTCTATTGCCTCGGCAGGTGTGCAGAGGCATGATCATAAGCTCACTGTACCCTTGAACCCCTAGGCTCACGCAGTCCTCCCACCTCAGCCTCAGTCTCCTAAGTGTCTAGGACTAGAGTTGTACATCACCACACCTGGCTGATTTTTAATTTTTTTTTTTTTTTTTTGGTAGAGATGGGGTCTCATTATGTTGTCTAGGCTGGTCTTGAACTCCTGGCCTCACGCAATACTCCCTCCCTTGGTCTCCCAAAGTGCTGGGATTACAGGTGTGAGCCACTCTTAATGTAAATATATATATATTTGAGACAACGTCTCACTCTGTCGCCCAGGCTGGACGGCAGTAGTGCCATTGTTATAGCTCACTGCAGCCTCCACCTCCTGGGCTCAAGTTGTCCTCCCACCTCAGCCTCCCGAGTAGCTGGGACTACAGATGTGTGTCACCATGCCTGGCTGATTTTTTTTATTTTTATTTTTGTAGAGATGGGGTCTCCCTATATTGCCTAGGTGGCTCTGAAACTCCTGGACTCAAGGGATCTGCCCATCTCGGCCCTCCAAAGTGCGGGGATTGTACGTGTGAACTATCACACCCAGCCATTATTTTTTCAATGAATAAATTACTCCAATATTCATGTTGTTAACCCCTATTCTATGTGACCTCTGCCTAAATTATAGTCCTTATAGCAGTTACAATTTATACCACATAACCTAGCCATTGTATATTTATGGCTTTATGTCTCATACTGTTTGCTATGATTTCATCCACATTTGGAGTCAGCCTATATTTGTGCATGTTCAATCACTGATTCGCAGGAGTTGGTGCTGGCTATGGACATCGGCATTTCCCATTTCCTCCAGTAGAGGACAGGTCATACAGAGCCTCTCAAATGGTAGCTGCTGAGTGATTCAGAGTGAGGTGAGAGATGTCTAGTGTACTCTCTTCTGCCTTGTTGAGTCCTCTTTGGGAAATATCCTCAGTCCAGAATCAAAGTTTTCAGGTTTTTCTACTCCTCCTGATAACTCAGCTGCCTGGTTTTTGCCCAGCGCAAGTCCTGAGCCTGCTGGCATATCCTGGAGGTCCTACGCTCACAGCCCACGCAGACTGAGAATGATCAGAAGCCACAAGATGTTACAAGCAAATTAACTCTTTCTTGAGATGATTTTCCACCTGATTAAACTGAAGAACTGAAAAACATTTAAATTGGCAGCATTATGCAAAGAATGCTGGGTGGTTGGCCAACAGATTTTATGTCTGGAACACATCTTCTTGCATTTTAATATTTAAGGAGCTCTTTGGAAATTATCTGCAGAAAGAGGAAGGATTCCTCTGATAATGTATTGGGCTGCATATAATGTGGCACATTGGGCTGCCATAAAAAAGACAGACAGATACACACACACACACACACACACACACACACACACACACACAGAGAAAAGAGCTAGTAAGTCCAAACACATTTACTTAGAGTGTTAAATCCCCATGAATTTTATTTTTATTTACCTGCTTTGTTTTGGGGAGCATATATATTGTTGACAAATATATACAACATTCAACAACTTAGCATGAAAGGCAAAAGGAAAAAAAGAAAAAGAAAAAGATAGTTGAGAAGGCAACATAAAATGGACCTACGTGGTAGTTTAAAAGTTCCTTCCGTATTAAACTATATACATGTTTTTTGAGTGGGTCACAAATTTGCTTTTAAACTCTCTTGCCACCAACACCAACACATCAACTCAGTTTCAAGATGTGAGTTAATATTTAGTATTTCTATCACTGATATATAAGATAATTAGCAAGCACAATCACATTCAAAGACATGAGAAGATACACTGTAATCAGGAATAACAAACTCACTACTACAAATTTCTAAAACACTTAAACAATATTTTGAGTTCCTAAAATGGTCAGTATCCCTTTTCTTCTCCCTTTGCAATAGTCCTAGGAGAAAAATCGCAGACTAAAAACACTTTAGCTAAGCAGGACACGTTCTGAATCCTGGAGGACTTACTTCCTTTTTTGTTAATCATGGATGACAGCAAGTAGGTAGCCCAGGCAAAAGGTAAAGCATCTAAAACTATTAAAAGACTTACGTGTCATCTATGAATGTTATTCCAAAATACTCCTTTTCTTTCAGGTTGAAATGTGAAGCCACTAGGTCCAGCAACTCTCTTGCTAAAAGTTTGGGCTGTCAAAATAAAAATCTGGTTAGAAGCAATTTGGTTGCCTCTCTCTTACTGCTACCACCTTCCTCTGCTCTAGACAGTTTAAAGCAGCTTTTGTTTGTTTGTTTGTTTTCTTTTATTACCTGCCCTTGTTTGTGGATTAGGTTGATGTACTATAGACAATTCTTTAAGAATTGTGGGAAGGAGAAGAGATGGGAATAGGAATATCAATGAGACTATTGTTTTCATGTGTTTGCAATTTCCCCTCTAAGGTGCACTTACTAAGATGTTTTGGAAAAAATACTCTTTTATATGTAACGTGGTGCTAATGCCCAAGACAAAGAATATTAAACAGCTTGCTGCTTGGTTATCTGTGATATATAAAAGATTGCGGGAATCATTTTGCTTCTTGGTGGCCAGCTGAAGAAGCCCAAGACTCAAAGTTGTGGGGCTGCTAATGAAAATATTAATAATAATAATAATAATAATTTCCATGTATTATGCTGAACTTATATCCATTATCATTTAATCCTTATAATGAGCTATGAGGTAGGCTTTTTCTTTCCATTTTATAAATGAGTCAACCAAGGCCCAGAGTGGTTAAGCACCTTGCTTGATGTTATATAGTGAGTAAGGGCAGGGATCTGAACCTAGTCTGTCTCCTTCTAAAGCCTAAGCTTTTCCTTCCTAAGATAGAGAAATTGTACCCATTCCACACATCATCATCAACAGTAACGAGCACCTAGTTAGAAGAAGGATGTAATCTATAAGCTTTTGGGAAGCTCTGGATCTGCTGAGAAGAAGCATGGGCTTGGAACCAGCCAGAATACCTGGAGTGACAATTGATGCTGGATTTGGAGGGACTGGGGAAGAAAAGGGGAATGCTTGCAGGAGGGCACTCTGGATGGATTCTTTCTGAACTTTGAGTCAAACAGCTTAGGGTATATTACGATGGCTGTTGGGGATAAAAATGGACATGATTTAAAGAAAAAAAAAAGAAAAGAAACAGGCAGACATCTAGACTAAAGGTCTACTTGGGCAGAGCTACTGTTGACTGTATTATTTCACTCTAATTGAAGCCTAAGCATAGTGGGCTAGGGACAGGCCTCAGAAGAGAAAAGAATTTAGGTTTGGTTAGAGGAGAAAATTCTAGGCTAGCTGTAGGTGTGGCCTGTCCGCAGGGACGTTCACAATTTTTAAAGACTCTTGGTCCAGAGTGTTGGGTGAATAGAAAGAGAAGCATCAACAATTGTAATATCATCAGTTGGCTGGGCGCAGTGGCTCATGCCTGTAATCCCAGCATCTTGGGAGGCTGAGGAGGGTGGATCACTTGAGGTCAGGAGTTCGAGGCCAGCCTGGCCAACATGGTGAAACCCTGTCTCTACTAAAAATACAAAAATTAGCCAGGCGAGGTGGCAGTGGCCTGTAGTCCCAGCTACTCAAGACGTTGAGGCAGGAGAATCACTTGAACCCGGGAGGCAGAGGTTGCAGTGAGCTGAGATTGTGCTACTGCATTCTAGCTTGGGCAACAGAGCAATACTCTGTCTGGAAAAAAAAAAAGAAAAGTGATTATATATATAAAATCACTTATATAGTGCCATATATTTTACAAAGAGATTTCACTCACATATATAATCTAGCTTGATTTTTAACCATAATTCTTCTGAGAAGCCTAGGCAGTTCACAGTTGATGAAACTGGGTATTTCACTTACACAATACCATGTAGCTGGACAGTGGCAGAATACAGATTCTCACCTCACAATAATCCTTTCAGGAAGTACTACAGTTCCCAATTTGCCGACAAGAGGTCAGAGAAGTAATGTCAATTTCCCAGGGTCACAGAGCTATTAAGTGTCAAGCTGAGATTGGAACCTAAGTGTCTCTGAATCCATGTCACCAGGCTGTAATTACTCTAACATATGGACCAAGTTTTCTGACTTCGAAGATGCTTTTCTCCCCCTTGATCAATTCTGAGTCATTGGCTTTGAGGCAAAGATAACGGAGAAGACTGAATACAGACTAAGAGGCTCAGAGAGGGAACGAGAATGAGCTGTCTCTGTGTGGGCAAAGCCTACCTGGGCAAGACTTATCTGTGTAACACCCACTTGGGCAACACCTACCCGGGCAAAACCTATCTGGGCAACGCCCACGTGGGCAACACCTACCTGAACCAGCAGCTCCAGTCTCCTATCATCCAGGAGGTGCACCTGGCAGTGCCTGCCTTCTGTCATCTGCAGAAACAAGACAGCAAGAGTGGTGTCAGGGCCACGGCTGGCAAGCAAACCTTTGGACTCATTGTGTCATTTATTTTAGATGAGATGTTCTCAGCCTAAAAATGGCTTTAGTTGAGTTAATAAACAGGCTTGGCCAGAAACAGATTTATTATATGGGAGTAACTGGATTTAAAAGAAGAACAAATAGCACAGGCTAGTCAATAGATTGCAAAAATAATGTCCATACAGTCCACCGAGTTCAAACAATACACACAAAATTATTCTATGTAAAGTAGGTCTCCATCCCAGAGGAAACTACTTTTTTTTCCTGGAATTAATTTTTTATTCAAAAAAAAAAAAAAAAGCCAGCCGGGCACAGTGGCTCACGCCTGTAATCCTAGCACTTCGGGAGGCAGAGGCAGGCAGATCGCTTGAGGCCAGGAGTTTGAGACCAGCCTGGGCAACATAGTGAAACCCCATCTCTACTAAAACTACAAAAAAATAGCCAGGCATGTGGTGCACACCTGTAATCCCAGCTATTCAGTAGGCTAAGGCATGAGAATTTGCTTGAACCTGGGCTGTGGAGTTTGCAGTGAGCTGAGATCATGCCACTACACTACAGCTTGAGTGACACAGTGAGACTCTGTCTCAAAAAAGGAAAAAAAAAAAAAAAACCCTTTATTCAGCTGGGCACAGTGGCTCATGCCTGTAATCCCACACTTTGGGGGGCCAATCAGGCCAATCAGGGTGGATGACTTGAGGCCAGGAGTTTGAGACCAGCCTGGCCAACATAGTGAAACCCCTTTCTACAAATAATACAAAAATTAGCCTGACGCAGTGGTATGTGCCTGTAGTCCCAGCTACTCAGGAGGCTGAGCTGGGAGAATCACTTTGGCCTGGGGCGTTGAGGCTGCAGTAAGCTGAGATTGTACCACTGCACTCCAGCCTGGGTGACAGAGAGAGACCCTTTTCCAAAAAAAGAAAAAAATTGTATTTATTCATTGGTGTGTTTAACGTCTCTCTGGGCATGGTAGCATGCACCTACGGTCCCAGCTACTAAAGAGGCTAGGTGGGAGGATCGGTTGAGGCCAGGAGTTCAAGACTGTAGTGAGCCAGGATCATACCTTTGAATAGCCACTGCACGCAAGCCTGTGGGCAACATAGACCTCATCTCTTAAAATAAAAATGAAAAGTCTTCATTTTGGAAACTCTCCCCCTACTTTTAGTCCACCAACATAGTTTACTATCACCACCATAGTTAAGAACAGTTAAGATACATAGTTAAGAACAGTTTGATATATATATTTTTGATTATATTTAGGTTTTTATTATTGAGAATTGCAATACTAAAAAAATCTTTGAATGCCAAGATACTCCTTGATTAACTCATGTTCCAAACCATTTTATCTGCAGAAATCACCATCCTGTTAGTTTAAGAATCCTCACAGACCACTTTTATATGTATTTTCAGATATATATTTACATATTAAAATATTTCATATTATTTTACTTTAGTACATATTATGTTGAATGTATTGTTTTGCAAATGAAGCACTCTTAATAATTCTGCATGAGTGTAACTATACAGAAATCTGACATATATGTGTGTATATGTGTGTATCCGTGTATGTGTGTGTATACATATTTTTTGTTGTTGTTGTTTCTTTCTTTTTCAATTCGAGTAGGACTATGCTTCACTTGCTGTTTTGCCTCTTGCTTTTTAAATTCAGTGTTTCTTGTTGATCTTTCCAATGTCAGCACATATAGATGGACCTCATTCTTTTTAAAGACTCCATAGTATCTATCATTGTGTGGATACATGATAATTAAATAAGAGACACAGGTTGTTGCCAATCTTTTGCTATCACAAGCAATGTCACCATGAACTTTGCACATCTAGCTTTGTCCATGGATGCGGAATTGCTAGGTCACTTTTGAAACGCAGGGGCAGCATTTTGTCTCTAAGTCGCTGTACAAAATGATAAGATCTAGGAACTCAGATACATATAAACCTAATTGAAAAAGAAAGTAGCCTCCATTACTGAGTACCAACAACCTATTCAGCATTGCATGAGTGTTTTCTATACATTATTTCTGAGTGGCACAGTTACCTTCTGGGATTGGTATTATTATCCCCATTTAACAGATAAATTGAGGCTCAGACTGGGATAAGTAACCTGTTTTCAATGTGAAAAATACGAATTACTGAATTTATAGTTTTGATCGAACTCGGCTCTAAGGGTCTGAAAACTAGCTCAGCTGGTCAGATCATGGTATTATGAAGATGTGGCCCACAGGAACCACTGAGGTAGTGCTAAAAGGTAAGTGAGTAAGCTTTACTTTGTCTCATGGCCTCAGCCTATGTCCTTAATTCTGCAAAGCCAAGGTCAAATATACACCTTGGGTGGCAAGGGGAAAGGGAGCAAGTCTTTATTAGTTCTAGGCACTGAGCTGGGCTCTTTACATGCATTATAAAGCTCTGCAAAAATTTATGACATGGCAACATCCCCATTTTACAGACAGGAAATTGAGGTACAGAGTTTACGGTAATTTACTCAAAGTTACCTAGGCAAGAAAACAGTTAAGTCAAGATTTGAATAAATGTCTAACTTAAAAAAAAAAAAGTCATCTTTTTTTTCTACTTTTCTATACCAGAGGAGGAAATAATTAAGAGAGAATTAAATAAATCTGTCAGTGTTTCTATACCAGAGGAGGATATAATTAAGAGAGAAATAAATAAATGTGTCAGTTTAAATCACTTTACTTCTTTTGTAAAACAACCTTCAAAAGCTAATCCTAGGTGTATGCCCTACAGAAAGATATAATAAAATAATGCTCAAAAGATCACACAGTATGAATCCATTAAGAAGTATGTCATAATTGAGAAAATATTTAAAGCTACTCTGTTGTCCCATAATCCAAATAAGTTTATTTCCTGACTTTAAAAAATCAGGCTGGGCGTGTTGGCTCACACTTGTAATCTCAGCACTTTGGGGGGCTAAGGCAAGTGGATGATCTGAGGTCAGGAGTTTGAGACCAGTCTATCCAACATAGTGAAACCCTGTCTCTACTAAAAGTACAAAAAATTAGCTGGGCGTTGTGGCAGGGGCCTGTAATCCCAGCTACTTGGGAGGCTGAGCCGAGATCGCATAACTGCACTCCAGCCTGGGCAACTCCGTCTTAAAAAAAAAAAAAATCATCTTTTTTGCCTTTCCATTTTGCTTTGGACCTCCCTCACATTAGTCAATATTCCTTTTAGCAACAGATAATTTTTATTCTAGACTATTCAATTGTAGATATCTTTTTGATGCACCTAACCATTTCATGACAAACTTGGGCATTGGTGGCTAGGTTTTACTTGGTCCTGCCCCTTTGGCCTCAGTTGATTGGGCAAGGGATAGATACCTGACTCAAGCTGGGCTAATCAGAACCTCAGTCCAGGGAATCTGGAATTGGGTCTGAGAGGATTAAAAACTTGGGTGTTTATGGGCAGCCATTGTTTGTGTGTGTATGGAGAAAAGGAAAGCCAACTGCAGAAACAATGAGGGAGACAAATAGCTAGAAGGAGGCAAGAGAGTTGGGCACGGTGGCTAGCGCCTGTAATCCCAGCACTTTGGGAGGCCAAGGCAGGAGGATCACTTGAGGTCAGAAGTTCGAAACCAGCCTGACCAACATGGCGAAAGCTTGTCTCTACTAAAAAATACAAAAATTAGCTGGGTGTAGTGGTGTGCGTCTGTAATCCCAGATACTGGGGAGGCCGAGGCAGGAGAATTGCTTGAACCCAGGAGGTGGAGATTGCAGTGAGCCAAGATTGTGCCCCCACTGCACTCCAGCCTGGGTGACAGAGCAAGACTCAATCTCAAAAAAAAAAAAAAAAAAAAAAGAGGCAGCAAGAGAAATCATGTGACCTAAGAAGAAAAGCTTAAGAGACTTGTTGTCAGGGTTCCTAATGTTTCTCAGTCACTTATAGTCCTTTTCTTTCCCTCTCTTAAGCTAAGAGGGAAGATTCTGCTTTATTTATTTATTTATGAGACAGAGTCTCACTCTGTCACCCAGGCTGGAATGCAGTGGCACAAACATGGCTCACTTCAGCCTCGACCTCCTGGGCTTAAGTGATCCTCCTGCCTCCACCTCCCAAGTAGTTGGGACTATGGGTACAGGCCATCATGCCTGGCTAATTTTTATATTTTCTTTGCAGAGACGGGGTCTCACTATCTTGCCTATGCTGGTCAAGAACTCCTGGGCTCAAGCGACCTGCCCGCCTTGGACTTCCGAAGTGTTGGGATTACAGATGTGAGCCATAGTGCCCAGCCGGATTCTGCTTCTTGCAACTAAAAGCATCTTCATAAGACTCCACAAGTTTCTGTGTCAAAACCAAAGCAAAAGGGTTCCAAAGCATAGACTCTCCAAATGATGTCATCAATATGAGAAGGTCATCTACTCATAATCACTGAGGCTCCCATTGATGACAATACACCAACCAAGAAAGGCTGACATCTGGGGAGGGGCATGAACAAACACCTGAGGGTTTGGTGGAACACCACACAGGGCAGGCTGGAGAGGGGAGCACAGATGAACTAGAGAGAAAAACACCAGGGTTACATGTTCACACAGCACACATGGTGTTCAATATTCACTGAGCTCTTTCCTCTGTGGAAAGATGGCTCTGCTGATAGGTTCATCACAACAGTGCTTATGAATAAATATTAGTTGGTAATATTAGAAATCAGGTAATGCCACATAATTTAAAAATCCAGATTGACAACTTCTTTTGACAAATGGTAAGACCTGGAAATTCTGGGCTTGATTTCCTCCATGGCAACATTTGGCCAAAGCAGGGCAGAGTGGTTCCTTATTCCAATGAGGTTTGTGGTCTCTGGTTCACCCAAATGTATGTACGACCAGCCAGGCTCTGGGAGTGAGTCCTGTCATCTGAGTGAGCAAACCTTGATTTAAGTGGTGCCAGCGAAGAGACACAACCAACACAAACAGAAACCCTGCTGTGGGCCAGGCAAAGT